CCATATACAGTGGTCCCTCATTTTTCGTAGTTAATCCGTTCCTGGAGTTGCTACTATTAACGAAATCTACGATTTGCGAATCAATTTTCCCCATAAGAAATAATGTAAATACAATTAATCCGTTCCTGACACCCAGAAGTATTAAAACAAAAAAATTTTTTACATGAAATATACATGTAGTACATAAACAATACAATGGGAAATGATGAATGAAACATTAACAGCATAACACTTACCTTTATTGGAGATTCTTCTTAGTGTATGGGAGACTGGAAGAGGAGAGAGATTGGATTGTTTATAGTTTGGTCAGTCCCAAACCCTTCAAAATCCCTCTTGTCGACACAATCTGGCCACAATTTTCTCCAGGAAGTGTTCAAAGTCCTGGTAGTCACTCCCTCCCAAGCCATACCTATAAGGGTTATGCAATGGAGGATGCTGAAGTGTTCTCTCCAAAATTCCCTTAGGGTCAAGTGAGTGTCTGTGGTCACAGTCAAGCACCTGTAAAACATTGCTTTGGTGTAGTTTTTTTTAAAGTTTGCAATGACCTGCTGGTCCATGGGCTGGAGGAGAGGAGTGGTATTTGGGGGCAAGAACTTTACTGTGATGAACCCAAACTCCTCGAAAATTAGGTCATCCAAGTTTGGAGAACGAGCAGGTGCATTGTCCATTACTAGCAGGCACTTGAGATCCAATTTCTTTTCCAGGAGATACTCCTTCACACTAGGGCCAAACACTTCATTGAACCACTCGACGAAAATTTCCCTCGTGACCCATGCCTTACTATTAGATTTCCAAAACACACACAATTTACTCTTCATAACATTGTTTTTCCTGAACACTCTGGGATTTTCAGAATGGTACACTAGTAATGGCTTCACTTTGAAATCCCCACTAGCATTAGCACAGAACATTAGCGTCAGCCTGTCTTTCATAGGCTTCTGTCCTGGCATTGCCTTTTCCTCCTGTGTAATGAAGGTCCTCTTTGGCATTTTCTTCCAAAAGAGGCCTGTTTCGTCACAAATGAACACTTGTTCAGGTTTCAGTCCTTCAGCCCCTTGTGGTCCGAACTGGCAGCCTCACCATGCCTTACCACACTGTGTATGCCAGTACAGTTCTTAAATCTCTCAAACCAACCTTTGCTGGCCTTAAATTCACTCACATCACCACTATTTTCAGGCAATTTCTTTACCAGATCGTTTTGCAACTGCCTAGCCTTTTCACAAATAATCGAAGTCATAAGAGTATCTCCTGCTAATTGTTTCTCATTTATCCACACCAATAATAACTTCTCAACCTCTTCGAGTACTGGTTATCTCATTTTTGTCAGCATAGTTACCCCCTTTGCAACAACAGCATCCTTGATTTCCTTTTTCTTGGCCACTATGGAACATATGGTTGTGTAGGGTTTCTTATACATCCTGGCCAGTTCGGCCACACTTGTACCACTTTCATATTGTTCAATGATGTTTTTCTTAAATTCAATCATATTTCTCACCTTCTTTACCACAGGCTTGGCACTAGGAGCTTTCTTTGGAGCTATGGTAGCTTATTTAGTACTTGCAAGCACTAAAATAAATGGAATATTATTAAATATTTCGCTGGAGCACATGAGGGGACCTTCGCTCATTGGTAAACAATGCCAGACTGGCTGCCGCCCCGGCTCACACCGTGCGTACGCATCCCGGACGAACTACTACTCGCGAGTCAACCTATGAAAAGCGAGCCCATGTTTATACGAAAATATCCCTATGATTTCTGAAATCTATGATTCCCAAGAACTACGAAAAGTGAGGGACCACTGTACTTGCAACATCTGCCACATTGCTCCTCTATCCACTCTATCATATGCCTTTTCTAAATCCCTAAATGCAATAAAAACTTCCCTACCTTTATCTAAATACTGTTCACATATATGCTTCAATGTAAACACTTGATCTACACATCCCCTACCCACTCTGAAACCTCCTTGCTCATCCGCAATCCTACATTCTGTCTTACCTCTAATTCTTTCAATTATAACCCTACCGTACACTTTTCCTGGTATACTCAGTAAACTTATTCCTCTATAATTTTTACAATCTCTTTTGTCCCCTTTCCCTTTATATAAAGGGACTATACATGCTCTCCGCCAATCCCTAGGTACCTTCCCCTCTTTCATACATTTATTAAACAAAAGTACTAAGCACTCCAACACTATATCCCCCCCTTCCCCTGCTTTTAACATTTCTGTCATGATTCCATCAGTTCCAGCTGCTTTACCCCCTTTCATTCTATGTATGCCTCACGTACCTCCCCCACACTTACATTCTGCTCTTCTTCACTCTAAAGATGGTATACCTCAATGACCAGTGCATGAAATCACCGCCTCCCTTTCTTCCTTAACATTTAAAAGTTCCTCAAAATATTCTCGCCATCTACCTAATACCTCCATCTCCCATCTACTAACTCCCTTACTCTGTTTTTAACTGACAAATCCATACTTTCCTAGGCTTTCTTAACTTGTTTAACTCGCTCCAAAATTTTTTCTTATTTTCATTAAAATTTCTTGACAGTGCCTCTCCCACTCTATCATTTGCTCTCCTTTTGCACTCTCTCACCACTCTCTTCACCTTTCTTTTACTCTCCATATACTCTGCTCTTCTTTTAACACTTCTGCTTTGTAAAAACTCTCATAAGCACCTTTTTCTCTTTTATCACACCCTTTACTTCATCATTCCACCAATCACTCCTCTTTCCTCCTGTCCCCACCCTCCTATAACCACAAACTTCTGCCCCACATTCTAATACTGCATTTTTAAAACTATTCCAACCCTCTTCAGTCCCCCCACTACTCATCTTTGCACTAGCCCACCTTTCTGCCAATAGTCGCTTATATCTCACCCGAACTTCATCCTCCCTTAGTTTATACACTTTCACCTCCCTCTTACTTGTTGTTGCCACCTTCCTCTTGTCCCATCTACCTCTTACTCTAACTGTAGCTACAATTAAATAATGATCCGATATATCACTTGCCCCTCTATAAACATGTACATCCTGGAGCCTACCCATCAACCTTTTATCCACCAATACATAATCTAACAAACTACTTTCATTACATGCTACATCATACCTTGTATATTTATTTATCCTCTTTTTCATAAAATATGTATTACTTATTACCAAATCTCTTTCTACACATAGCTCAATTAAAGGCTCCCCATTTACATTTACTCCTGGCACCCCAATTTACCTACTACTCCCTCCATAACATTTTTTACCCACTTTAGCATTGAAATCCCCAACCACCATTACTCTCACACTTGATTCAAAAAACTCCCCATGCATTCACTCAACATTTCTCAAAATCTCTCTCTCTCCTCTACACTTCTCTCTTCTCCAGGTACATACACGCTTACTATAACCCACTTTTCACATCCAACCTTTATTTTACTCCACATAATCCTTGAATTAATACATTTATAGTCCTCTTTTTCTGCCACAGCTTATCCTTCAACATTATTGCTACTCCTTCTTTAGCTCTAAATCTATTTGAAACCCTGAAACTAATCCCATTATTCCTCTCATTGAAACTCTCCCACCTCCTTCAGCTTGTTTCACTTAAAGCCAGGACATCCAGCATCTTCTCATTCATAACATCCACAATCATCTCTTTCTTATCATTCGCACAACATCCATTCACATTCAGACTTCCACTTTGGACAATTTTCTTCTTCTTATTCTTTTCAGTAATCTTTACAGGAAAAGGGGTTACTAGCCCATTGTTCCCGGCATTTTAGTTGACTTTTACAACACGCATGGCTTACGGAGGAAAGATTCTTATTCCACTTCCCCATGGATATAAAAGGAAAAGTAATAAGACCAAGAACTATTAAGATAAAATCAAAGAAAACTCAGATGAGTGTGTATAAATAAACTAATAAATAAATAAATGTGTAGTGTGACCTAAGTGTAAGTAGAAGTAGCAAGACATACCTGTAATCTTGCATATTTATGAGACAGACAAAAGACACCAGCAATCCTACCATCATGTAAAACAATTACAGGCTTTCGTTTTACACTCACTTGGCAGGACGGTAGTACCTCCCTGGGTGGTTGCCGTCTACCAACCTACTACCTACAAAATTTTTTTTATGTTAATGCCCAGTGTTTATTACCTGGACCTCAGCAATTAGAGTCGCTACTCTCACCGCTGGCCAACGGCGACCAGTGCAGGAGATATACATGATTATATACACTTGGAAAATTCTAGAGGGATTAGCACCAAACTTACACACAAAAATCACTCCTTATGAAAGCAAAAGACTCGGCAGACGAAGCAACATCCCCCCAATGAAAAGCAAGGGGGCCACTAGCACAAGAAGAGACAACACAATAAGTGTCAGGGGCCCAAGACTGCTCAATTGCCTCCCAGCATACATAAGAGGGATTACCAATAGACCCCTGGCTGTCTTCAAGCAGGCACTGGACAGGCACCTAAAGTCAGTGCCTGACCAGCCGGACTGTGGTTCGTACGTCGGGTTGCATGTGGCCAACAGTAACAGCCTGGTTGATCTGGCCCTGATTCACCATGAGGCCTGGTCACAGACTGGGCCAGGGGGGCGTTGACCCCCGGAACTCTCTCCATGTGTACTCCAGGTATTATAGTATGCTCCTCACTTAACGACGAATTCGTTTAACGACATGGTCTCTAGAACAGAACTCCGTCGTTAAGTAAGGAGAGGCTGTATATAAGTCCTATACATAACCTACTATAAAGTTTGATAAATTACACAAAATAAGTGGAGAATTATCACTTTTTCACTGATGGGAAGCACTTCACAGCTTCTCTTATGCTTTGAAGAACTGCCACCATCACTACTTTTGCACTTTGAGGCCATTATTAAGCAAAATTAAGGGTTATCTTTGGGCCACGGTAAACTGCAGATAACTGAAACCTCGGGTACGGGGGGTTCTACTGCACTGTGAAAACAATCTTGAGACATACCATCACTTATACTTACATCATCACATTTCTGGATCAGTTCACTATCATCTAGCAGTAATGCAATGTCATATATCAAAGGAAAACTTGCTTCATTAACTTCATTAGCCAGATACTGAAAAAAAAAAAATTGAACATGACAGGGAGGAAAGGTTATACTGAATGGAAATGCATATGTCTTGTGCTCAGCAGGAGGATCGAGCCTATTTAGTTTGATGACTGACATTTTTTTTCATGTGAAGCTGCTAAACCCCCATAAGTCATTCAGCTTAAGAAGGGTGGAAGGTGTTGCGGGGGCAGTGACCCCTGGAACACCCTCAAGGTAGGTCATCTCCATCCCTTCTTGTTCTGGGGTTTAGTCAGTTACATGAAATAATATGAGTCATTAAATATAAGAGGTTTTCAAACGAGTGATCCTTATTTCGCATATTAACATACCAGTAATCTTAACATGTGTATTTGACATTCTTAAAAAATAGTAAATGACAATCTAAAGGGTCTCAAGATCTACGTAAAACTGGGAAGTAGAGAGAAGAGATAATTATTTGTCTCAGAGACTGAACAAAGTGGAAAAATATTATTCGAGTTAGAAATCAAAGAAAAATAGCAGTTACTATGACTTCCCTACTAAAACTAGTACTCATAAGCTGAAATTAAAGTTCATCACATACTGCAACTCAGTGAGTTGCCATATGTGTTGTTTTACAACAGTTAAAAATTTCCTACCCACTATACATACCTGAGAAATTTCAATTATACATTACCTGGGAAACTTAAGAATGCTTTGCCAAGTTTGGCACCGATCTTTGCATATATTTGACAAGATAACACTTGAAATGAGGTGAGGTACAAGAAAACTTACTGTTGAGCATATATCACAAAGTGCATCAAATTGATACTTGTTTGCCAGACTGTATATCTGGGTCGTCATTTCTACATCTGATAGACTGACTTTGTCACAGTAGATGTAGTCCAGCAGAAAGTCAAAAGCTTCAGGTAGGTCATCAACCAGAGTCAAATTGCCTTCCTCTGCCAAGGGACCATACAGCATTGCGTCAAACACTGGTGAGCTCGCAGCCAGCATAAGCCGATGAGCCTGAGAAAAGATACTTTGGCTTGGTTTAAGTTTTAATGCTGTATTAAGCTTCGTATTAATAAAAAACTTATGTGATTATGAATTCTCTTCAACTAGTGATATAAATTTACCATTATTTTTAAAATAAGCAACACTGATAAAATTTAATTTGCAAAATCCAAACTGCTGTACTATATTGATTACTACACTGACTGTATGACCCTTGTCGGTTTAGTGCTTTCTTTGATTATAATAATAATTATAATAATAATAATAATAATAATAATAAACTGATCAAGTTAACACAAAAGATCTCAAAATTATGACCAGCTCACATTAGCTAATTTTTGCAGGTTTTCTAAACTGCACTGTTGGAAATAAGGCATCAATAAAGGTGATTATACAAATTTTCCTTTCCTAGGCTGTTTTTGCACAAAAAATGCAATTATTTTCATTATACGAGTGTGTTTAAAGCAGCATTATTACAAATCTTCCACGCTGAAATATGAGTTGCCCTAGTGGGTTTGAAAGGACAGAGCACTGTCAACCAACTCCAATATCATCCAAAAATACAAACCTTCTAAAAATGAAAATAAGAGAGATTACTGTATCAGCATTATATTTTGTGAAAGTGCTAACCCTGTGGATACTATACATTGCTTGGAAGAATGGGAGGCAATCAAGTGCAATCCAGGAAGAGAATAAATCCAAATACAGCTAGCCCTCCACTTTTGCGAGTTCCACTTTCACAAGCTTCGAACATTTGCGAATCCCCAGTTCATTACTTGTTATTAAACCATAACATGTATATACAATAATTTATGATGTTTTCATTGTGTTTTATGATTGTTCATTGTTCAATAGGTTAAGGAAACAGTATTGTTAGACTAAGTAAATGCTATTATTATATTTCCCTACAATATATTTGTGCATCAAAACATTCGTGAATTTTCAAGATTCGCGAGGTTCTTGATCCCCTAGCCCTCACAAATGTGGAGGGCCTCCTGTACTTGCTTCTAAGGCCACCTCACTGACATCAAGAAACCTCCCACGAGGGGAATAAAAAAAAAAAAAAAAAAAAAATCAGAGAACTTATTAATACTACATACCAGCACACAAGTCCTACACAGTCCCATGAAGGGTTAATACATGTACTTTCAAATTCAAATTTTATTCTCTATAAGGACTCTATAATGACTGTGAAACAAAAACCTGTAACTGTTTTGCATGATGGTAGGATTGCTGGTTTCTTTTTCTGTCTCATAAACACGCTAAGATAACAGGGATATCTTGCTACTCCTACTTACACTTTGGTCACACTTCACAGACACGCACATGCATATATATATATATACATACATCTAGGTTTTTCTCCTTTTTCTAAATAGCTCTTGTTCTTTTTTATTTCTTCTATTGTCCATGGGGAAGTGGAAAAGAATCTTTCCTCCGTAAGCCATGCGTGTCGTATGAGGCGACTAAAATGCCGGGAGCAATGGGCTAGTAACCCCTTCTCCTGTATACAATTACTAAAAAAGAGAAGAAGAAAAACTTTAAAAAACTGGGTTGCTTAAAAGTGCGTGGATGTAGTGCGGATGACAAAAAAACAGATGTTGCTGTTATGAATGAAAAAAGTTGGATGCCTGCCCTAAGGAAACAAACTAAGGGGTTGGGAGAGTTTAGTGGGGGAAATAAATGGGATTAACGGAGTTTTGAGAGATTAGAGCAAAGGAAGGGGTGCAGTAATGTAAAATGATCTTATGGAAGGGAAAAGAAAAAATATGAATGTTAAATTCAAAAAATTTATGTGGTTTAAAAGAAAAGGTTGGTTGCGGAAGGGGTCATAATAAGCGTGATCACGGAGAAGAGGGGAAAATGCAGAGGGAGAGAGAGATTTTTGGGAGATTTTAAAGTGAATGTATTGGACCTTTGAACCAAGTGAATGAGTAATTGGGTAGGGATTTGAATGCTAAAGTAGGGAAATTTTAGAGAGGGGGTGGAGGTAATTTTGGGGGGTGCCGGGTTAATAATAATGGGACCTTTGATTGAACTTTGTATAAAAAGGGGTTTTAGTTATAGGTAACATTTTTTAAAGAAAAAGGGGATAAAAAGTTTACACGATAGATGTGGGCGAAATGACTGGGTTTTTGGTTTATGTTTTGGTAGATAAAAGACTGTTGAGAGACTTCGGGATTACAGTTTAAGAGGGGCCCAAAATATATAATCACTTTCTAGTTGAGCCACGAAGTAAAAGGTAGAGGGATACAAGGGAGAATAGAAGCATGGGGGAAGAGGAGGTGAAGGTTTAAAAACAAAAAAGAGGAGGGTTAGGGTAAGATATAAACAGCTATTGGGGATAGGGGGGTAATGAGGCATAGGCGGGGGGTCGAAGAGGTTGGGGTGGGTTTTAAAATGTAGTGTTAAAGTTTTCAGCAGAAGTTTGTGGTTACAGAAAGTGGGGCAGGGGGAAGAGGACGATTGGTGGAAGTGATGTAAAGAGGTAGTGGGGAGAAAATTGATATGAAAGTTTTTAAAAAGTAAAAGTGATGCAAGGGGGAAAAGAGTTATGGAGAAAAAAGAGGAAAAAGAGATTGGTGAAGCAATGTAAAAAAGCAATGAGAGGGGGTGAATGTTATCAACATATTTTTTGAAAATAAAAAAAGTTTTGGATGAGATTAACAATTAAAAAAACCCTAGAGAAAAAATGGTTTTGTCTTAAAAAATGGGAGAGGAGATATTAAATGGAGGTTTAAGGGTATTGGGAAATGGAAGGAATTTTTGGGAATTGTTAAATGTTGATGAAGATAGGGAAGCTGTATTTCGGTATGGGAAGGGGAATAAATTTTGTAGGAGTGAGGAACCGTTGTGAGGGGGGGGGAATTTCGTGGGCAGTGGGTAAAATGAAAGGGGGTAAGGCAGGGGGTTGATGGGATAAAGAAAAAATTTTAAAAAAGCAGGGGGGGATTAGTTTTGGAGGGTTGGTGCAATTTTTTAAATAAATTATGGAGAGGGAAAAGGAAAACCTGGGGGTTGGCAAGAGCATGCATATTCCTTTGTATAAAGGCAAAGGGGAAAAAAGAGGGAAAAAATTTAGGGGGAAAAGTCTGTTGAGTGTACCTGTAAATGTTGGTAGAGTTATAATTAAAGAATTTAAGAGTAAGCAAAATAGGATAGCAGAGAAAAAGGGGAGGTTTTAGGAAAGGTAGGGGGGTGGGCCCAGGTTTTTAATGAAACATATAAGGAACAGTTTTTAGTAAGGCTAAAGGGGTCTTTTTGGCATTTAGGGATTTGGAAAAGGCGTAGACGGGGTGGATGGGGGGGGGCAGGGGCAGATTTTGCAAGTTTTGGTTGGGGTGGGTTACTGAAAGCGTGAAATTTTATGGGGATAGTGAGGCTCAATTTAAAGGTTGTAAAAAAGGGGAAAATTTTTTTTCCCAGTAAAAGTGGGCCTTAGAAAAGGATGTTGATGTCACCGTGGTTTTTTTTAAAAATTTTTTAAAAGATGGGGTGTAAGGAGAAAGCGGGGGGTTTTGGAAAGGCGTGGAGTTAAAAGAAAAGAACACACACAAAGGGGGAGTTGTCACAGGCCTTTGTGATGACACTGGTTTTGGGGAGATTTAAAGGAAGTTGCAGGATTGGGGGATGAATTTGGTAGGGTGCAAAAGAAAAAATTAAAGGTGAATACGGGAAAAGATTTAAGTTAGGGATAAAAAAAAAGATTAGGTGATAAAGATTGAATACAATTGGAGGGAGAGAGTATGGAGGAGGTGAACGTATTCAGATTTTTGGGGAGGGAGTGTCAGGGATGGGTTTTTATGAAAGATGAGGGAATCATAAAATTGAGAGGGAAAAAGAGTGAGTGGTGCATTAGGAGTCTGTGGAGAAAAAGAACTTTGCCTTTGGAGGAAAGGGGGAAAATGTAGAGAGTATAGTTTTCCCAACCCTCTTAATGGGTGTAAAGCGGGGGGGTTGAATTTTTGCAGCGGGGAGAAGGCGGAGGCAGTGGAGATGTCTTCTGAGGGCAATGTGTGGTGTGAATAATGCAGAGAATTCGTATTTTGGAATTTAGGAGGAGGTGGGGGATTCCCAAAAAAATGTTGTCCAGAGGGCTGGGGAAAGGGGTTGTTGAGTGGTTGGGACATGTAGAAGAATGGAGCGAAACGAATGCTTAAGGTGTATCAGTCTGTGTGGAAGGAAGGGGGGGTGGGGGTCGGCCAGGAAGGGTTGGAGGGGGGGGGAAAGGAGTTTTGTGGCGGGGGGGCTTGGACTTCCGCAGGCATGCTGACGTGTTTGTTGGGTAAATGGAGAAAAAGGGTTTTTTTAATACTTGATGCTTGGATGTGAGAAAAGTAACATTTATGAAGGGTTTGGGGAAACCGGCAGGCCGACTTGAGTCCTGGAGAGGGGAAGTACAGTGCCGCATTTAAAGGGGGGGTTTTTAATGTTGCATTTTAAAAAAACTGTATGTAAAGCACCCTTCTGGCAGACAGTGATGGAGTGAATGAGGGTGAAAGTTTTCTTTTTGGGCCCCCCTCCCCTTGGGGGGAATCGGCCGGGTGATAATAAAAAAAAAAAAAATAAGGATTAAAAGTGAGTTTACAGAATTTGGTTATTGTGTGGTTTACATGTAGTAAATACAAATTACAGGGGTGCCACTGAACACCTAGAGGCTAGGCATTTCGGGCAATTTGAAAATTTCTTAATTTTAAAAATTACATATTTGAAAAGTTGGTTTATGGTAAGTGACAAAATATTATTTTTGGAGTTAGAAATTTGGGAATGTTTTATTTTGGCACAAACATATTTTCAGTTTGGAGTATCACAGGCAACTTATGATATTTTAGGTTTCTTATTTTAGATGAGACTGTGTTTCTGTTTATGGAAAATGGGTGAGTGAAAGTGGAAACCCACCGGGGGGTATTTGTGTAAATTGTTGCGGGGGTTTCAGGAGATGTGTTTTCAATGGATTTTTTGAAGGTGTGAATGTGTCTGCAGTTCTAAGTTTTAGGTAGGGTTTTCCCAGA